ATTTTGGATTTTGATTAACTTTTAACTTTGGAGAGACATTAAATATGATGGAGATGAAAAGCGATTTCGAAGAGTTCTTCGATTCTGAGGATTTGTAAAGCGGAGGCTTGTGTTATATATGACCTACAATTAGGACGGCAATAGTTATCAGTATTGGATTAATTAAATTTCATAAGTAAGGGTCTGCTAAATGTAAGTAGTTTTATAACACACTAGCAGTCCGGGCAAACTACGTTTTTTTATGGTATTAAAACCTTCCGTGGACCTTAAGTAACATACAAAAAAATAAATTTGCCGAATTGGTCCAGCCATTCTTGAGTTATGCGCTAACCAACATTTATTTTTATTTCTTAGAAGAAGAAGTTTACCACATTAACAAGATTTTGAAAGAAGCAGTAATTGAATAAACAATTTTTGACTCCGTGACAAATGTTAAGAATTCCTAGTTAACAATATTACGTCATCATCAAATGAATTTATTAATGACATAGATTAAGCAATTACACAGACGTTAGTTTTAAAAAAAAATTTAAATTTCAAAATACTTCGATGAAAACAGCTTTGGAATATTGATTGGGATGGCATTTCGAGTTCTGAGGGCATAGGTATGAATGGCAATGGGGCGCATATTGAGAAATGGAAAATTCCTTGTTTAGCACTTGCGGGTCAGGCGACAGAGTCGTCGTATGAATCGTTTAGAATTTAATATGGCCGGATTGTACAATAGCTAGATGTTTTTGTTAATGTAACTCATTAAACATATTTGCTATTAGCGATTTTACCCTAAGCTAAGTAATTGTAATTAATCGCATTATAATTTTTTATTACACTTCCATGCTCCCAACTCAACCAGCGGTAATACGTCTTAGGGCAGAAATCGTGGAATATGGTGGGGCTTGCTGGAAAAAAAACCGGTCTATTGCGAGTTGGACTCACGCTTTAAGGGTTCCGTACCATTATCTATAAAATTTTTGATGCTATAGCGGCAACAGAAATATGTCTTCTGTGAAAGTTTCAACTAACTATCACGTTCATGGCGCCGGCCTGCTGACAGACGAACAAACAGACAGCGGAGCTTAAGTAATAGGGTCCGGTACCCTTTGGGTATGGAACCCCTAAAACTGCGGTTGGTTGTTGAAGAAGGCTTACATTTCCCCTATAGATTCAGTCATGTTAATAAATAGGTACAAACAATGTAGGTTAATTCTAGTTAAAAACTTAGTTTTGTCTTAACAGGACAATTTCGACCACCGTTCATTAATCAGCCCCACAACTAAGTGAAGAGGCTATCATTTAACAGGCCTTCGTTGGAAATTTGAATTTCGAAAAGACATAAGGAATTTTAAAATCGAAAATTGCCTGCCCGTACAATTAGATTACAGCGACGTGGTTCGTTAATAAGCAGAATAAATCCTCGTAACAGAGCCATACTGAAAATGTATGCCTTAAAAATTGCTTAAACAATAGATCCAACATTGCTGCGTCGAAATGGCCTTCTAAATGGGGTACTGTAGCCGTTATAAAACTGATTTTGGCTTTTATCCATATCAAGACAGCTATTTGTATAAGCAAGGACACGTAATGCTGGGAATGCTCCCACATAACTCATTCGGGAAACCGCATTCAATTGACATGATTATATATATGTACCTATACGTACATTCAACCAAGAACTCCGACATATGTTCATTAAGTGACATGGTTATACGACTTAAATAATGCAATATTTGTACCTATACGTATAGGTGAAGAGATTTATCAAACGGGGAACAATCTGAAAAGTTTACGTTTTATTTAAATTCCGCGGACGGAGGGGTATGAAATTTCCCAAACTTATAGTTTATATAGAGAAGGAGTTACTGAATGCTAACATTTTTTTTTAAATATGCATATAAATACATTAAATCAGAATCAAATTAAGAATTTTTACTACACCAAATTTAGTACGCCGTATCCAAAATGTATTTTTTGTTTGTGTTTTTATTTTTGGGCATGACATGCTGGAATACGATCAGCTAAGCTGAACTGATAAAAAAGTAACTGACCTTGAGAACTGTGCACTACTCTAAATAGCAAAATGTTATGGCCTCTTATTAATAATGAATACTGTAGTCGATTGTGGTAAAGGGGTCGACACTTCAACACGAGTTTACAAAAGAGCTTTTGCTGTATAAAATGTTGAGATCGATCAAGAGCTTTCCCACAGATACACTGTAAGCAGGCGCCAAGTCAAAGTATTCATAACTTTCCACCTGATTCAGTTATTGATAAAAATTGAAACCGAAATCCTCAGTAGTTAGAAAACTGCAGCCCATGGTGTGTTGCAGGCTTTCAATATCTCAATTGGGTAGTTCAAAGGGTGCATAATAGTACTAAATGTAAAAGTAATGTTATGTAATTAGCACCATTTGATATTATATTTGGTTTAACAATTGTTATTGTTCCGCAGTTTTTAAATTCGCTTAACATTATTGTTTGGATTATTGGATATTAATTATGTTTGGATTATTTGGATATAAATAACATTATTGGATTTTAAAAATAAAATTACAATTAAATAATAATTAGACTTTATATAATAGAACAAAGGAATCCTAGGCACGGTTCGAGGCAATTTTTTACTACAGCGCATTATAACCCATCGGTTAATGGCGCCGGTCTGGCGATTAACTTAACGCCATAAGCCTCGAATAAGCCGACTAGAGATAAAAACCTAAATATTAATGTGGCGATTAATTGCGTTAGCTATTTTTAACTTTTTAATCTTCTTTAAAAAATTCTGGAGTGTAAGTTTGTCTTTTTAAGTCCTAGGTCAGTTTCTACTAAGTCTAAGGGACGGTGAGTTTGGTGATAAAGTTAATCAAAAGTTTAACTGTGGTAGGGCCACGCAACAGTGTTCACTGTTGCACGAATGGGCAGGTCCGACCGGGTTAGTACCACGATCTCACAGCAGACCGGTGTAAAGTAGATGTGTTACACTTCTGCGTTTCGTCTGGTGAGTGAGGGAGCCGTGGCCCGCTTTATTTAAAGGTGGCAACGCATTTGCAACACTATGCCTATTGCAAAATTCCATGGGCAGCGGTTATCACTTAACATCAGGTGAACCGCCACTTTATCACAAAAGTATAAAATAAAAAAAAAAAAAAAAAGTTCATCGGTGTAAGCGGCTCCTACCTATATCTCAATTTTTATTTAATGAATTAGTTTCCACCAGTACAACTCGACGGCCTTATGAGCACTACCACAACATTCACGTAAAATTGGGGGCCAAGGGACAAGTTCATAGCCAACGTTATTGATCCATTACGTTTGACCTGTGTTGTTACTGTTAATTATAAATAACTTTTAGTATCGTCCATATTGAAGAATCTCTCGAGCAATGCACAGCGCTGTTTGCACTATAGGATTTACGACCATCAAATGTAGAGTAGCACATAAAATTGTCGAGCGCAATTGGAACAAATAAGGACGGCAGCACATTTGTCCGTGTATTAAATGGATGCTTAAATCAATACGGTAGCATAATCCGGCGTCGGACGCGATCGACTGACAGGAAACTTGTTAATTTGGTCCGTCCCAATCAATATTGTATCTGTGGATTTTTACCCGAAACCGCTTAGGTGTGAGTTTGAATGAATTTTAATAGGGCGGATCCGAATTTGTTTATGCATGAGTCCCGGCGCTTGTTTGTCGCATTCATTGCGATTATTATTAGTACAAAAGATTTATCTGTTTATGACCGTCGGAATTGACGACCAAAGAAGGGGAGTAAATACTCTTAATAATATGATATTAGTAATGTAATAATATAATATTTATTTGTATTAAGTAATATGATATTGTTAATAAATCTTTAAGGGATTGTACAGAGATTGACATTATTGATTGATAATATTTATAAAATCATAGTAACAAATTATAATTTCATTAATTGAGTAAATAATTTGTAAAACAATACTTAAGATTTTAAAAAAAATTATTTTAAATACGTTAATAATTTTCTACGGTGGTAGGGCCACACAGCAGCCTCGGCTGTTGCACTAATGGGCAAGCTCGTCCGGGTAAGTACCACGACCTCACAGAAGACCGGCGTAAAGTGGAAGTATAATACTTCCGCGATTCGTCTGGTGAGTGAGGTAGCCTGAGCCCAATTTTCAAAAGGTTACCAACGCATCTGCATACCCTCGGGTGTAGCAGATGTCCATGGGCGGTGGAATTCACTGAACATCAGGTGAACCACCTACTCACTTGGCAACTTTTCACATAAAAAAAATACACGAGCTGTAGAATATTTCGAGGAACTTCAATATATACTTAAATTTTATAACATTAATTTTTTTATTGTTCAGTATATTATCAGTATATTTATGATTTCAAATTACAGACATTTGGTTCTCAATTTTAAGTGAATTCAGCAGGTGCAAATCGCTTCAGAATTTAAAGTAGTTAAAATTTTGAAAGCAGCTATTTACCATGACCTCTGTTCAATCAAAGTTAAATCATTCAGTATAGGCTTGTTCTAAGCTCTTCTTGAACGTCAAAAAACGGTTCACTAAATTACACCTGTACAGGGAAGAAACAGTCTTAAAAAACAAAGCTAAAACCACTTGCATGACTTGCATTATGATAAACATGTTCTACCGACATCAACTAGGTGGTATAACAGCATACGGGTGACGAAAATTTGACTATCAAGAAGTCATTTGACACTTCCTATCAAGATTGCTTATCGAAAGAAAGAAGTGTATGGTTGTCTGCAACAGCCACATCGTATAATTGCATCGACGTAACCAATTCAACCCTTCCTCTGACCACGTGAGATATGTTTCTATAAATAATATATATTGGTCGTATTTGTCAATATTTAATAATTTTTGTAAACGTAAAAATCTTGGCCGCTTAGTTATCATTTCAATGATCTTTGGAGAATATGAAGAGATACGTATTCCACTGATAAATTCAAGGCTTAAATAAGATTATTTAGCGCCTGAACGACATGAATGATAACTGAGGTACTTATATACGAAGATTTGTCCTAATAATAGGGTTAAGAAGGCTAATTAGAAAGGCAAGATATTTTAGTCCTTACTGCTTAAATTGCTTGTAATACATCATACATAAACCATACAGATAATTGCAACAATAAGGCTAAGAGTGTATTAGATACATACATACGTGTGAGAAATATAATTTACTACCGACCCACCTCGGCTTCATAAGGGTAACACTAATTATCAAAAAAAATCTTTTCATTCGATCGTTATCAACCTTCAAAAGCGTAGTGGCTGGGATAAGTTTGCCTGAAACTTTCATCAAAATCTGTCCTGCCGTTTTGGAGTCCATAAGTCCATGTATACAGACAAAGATTTTTATAAATGAATTATATTGATTGTAATTAATTATAAAGCAATCGTATATACTTTTCAACAATCTAATATTGAGAGTGTAGCATTGGACGCTTTCATCGTTGATTTTTTAATGCTTAAGAATTTAACACACACGGTGAATCGTGGAAATAAGTGTCTTTATCATTTATTTAAAAACCGTTTATCTTAAAGCAAGTATATAACTAATGTGTCGTTTTAATTATTAACAGTTCTTACAAAGCAGTTGTGTCGTTATACGTTTGACTTAAGGTTAATTTAGACGGACAACCATCGTCGCCTCAAAACCGATGGCTCACCATCGAGAAATCCAGACGTAGCTAGGAGGAGGTGGCGTTCTGTCGTGGAGGGGCAGTTCGCACTCCGCTTACGCTACCGCGCGTGCGCTACCCTCCTTCGGGCGTCCCTTTCCCTCCCGCGCCTACCAGCAGCCGTCCCCCTCTCACCCGGGAGGGTCGATATATACGACGCTAGGTACGCGTACGGAGTCTTGCACACCAGTACGCAGTTCCCCGGCGTCCCGAGCAAACGTCAGTCGAGATCGGTCGTTCGGAGCAGAGGTACTTCGCGGCCGCAACAATGTCGCGCGCCGTGCTGCTGATAAGTGTTTTTACGGTGTTCCTGGACGTCCTCCACGCGAGCCAGGTAAGAGATCCCACAGCTGGTGTTCCTGACTCTCGGCCGGTGCCTTATTAGCGGGGCGCAAGGTCGAAAATCGATTGGGCGTCCGCCGATGTTTTTCACGGCGCGCGCTAAACAGCCCCGCCGGCTGAAAACGTCGCGCGGATGCCATAAAAGTTGTTTTAGAAGCGAACGGAACGGAGCGGCGTGGCGCGCTTCTTTATTCTCCTTTTTCTAAACGCACACGGTCAGTTATGTACGGATTGCGTAATGGACGCGTAAGTCTGATTGAAACCCGACGGAACGACGAAAATGCGTATGACCGACGCCACATGATTCTGACACTGACACTTTGTCAACGTCCTTATTTTTTAGTAATGGGAATATGTAGTTATTTTATCGATTCCTACGAATTTGTCTATACCGATCGGCGTGTCCGTCATATAAAGAATACTTTAGGCTAATCGAACGCAGTAGTTGAATGCTCCGTTAACTCTGCATTATCGGCTTTTTATTCGAAAGTTGTTGGTATTCTCAATTTACAGGGAGCGGCGAAGCGGTTTCTGAATATTCATATCAAGTGATTCGGGTAGAATTCTAGGTTTACTTGCTATGAATAAGAACGAAGGGAATATGTAAATCGGGCAATCCCATCAGACCCCTTCGGTAGGAGGGTCCGCAACGGTATTAAAAGAGATTGAGTTCTTCTGAAAATATGACTGTGGGGCGGACGGTATTTTAATGCAATTAATTTGTCGATCGATCGATCAACGCAACGCCCTATAAATACAGAATACGATATTCATTTCATTGCAATCGGATTTTAAGTCTCGATCTTATGTCGTTTAATCCAATACGCAGTCTAGAAGAATTTTGTAATTGACACTAAATATACTATGTTGCATATTCCGAAGATATCACGACTTTTAAATGGTAAATTTGATGCTTTTAAGGATATATTGCAAAGATTATTCTGTTTTTGGTTTTGAAATGGTATTTTATGATTGCAAATAATCCATTATATGTCTTTCGCAAGTCTAAAAAATTTTATCTCCTTATATATTGCAGGTATGACGTAATATTTTGCCTGCATTGAAAGCTTCCGACAATGAAGCTTCATGCCTAGCTCACTTCAACCGTCTTCCATTTTTTACATCCTTGGATCCTCAAAATCAATTTCTCTATAATAAAGCAAACGTTTTAAATATTCTGAAGCATCTATTTTTTGTGTAGGAAGTTTACTTTCACAGCTTCATAGTAAATTTGTGAGAAGAATTTAATTAGTTTTAAATTATAACATGAAATAATGACTGATGTTACTGCAAATAAAACACACGGAAATCTGCATTCACATAGAACTCGGTTGATTTTTATTTCTTTTCTTTTATGTACATTTCTTATAAAATACTTTAATGATTAGGGGATTACACCAAAGATTATAAAATGTTATATTTTTTCTATATTTTGATAGTAATTTGCGAAAAAAAAATTTATTATAAATGCATACAATATTCGAAAAGGTTATAAATCAATAATAACTTAATGTCATAAATTCATTAAAAAAATCTTGTTTTAACATGCAATCTTTATTCGAATTATGAAAATCGTTATTTATTATTATTTTTTTTAATAAAAGAAAAGCAGGTTTTATTTAATCGTCAGAAATTGTTAAGAAAAAGCTTTAGTGAAATTATTCGTAAGAAACCAGTGTTGCTATATCCGTTGGGCATTTCTTTGACAGAATTGAGGGTAGGGCCAGGTTGTCTATTGTTCTTAAATTTTATCCCTTGCGTGTTTTATTATTCGTAAAAGGGAATGGCTGAATACAGAAATCTTTGATATCAAGCTTTTTTTACATCCGGAAAAACTGGCTTTTCATTTGTACGTGAGAAAAAAAACTCTTAGTATCTAATAAACAGCAAGGATGACTTTTGCTTAAAACTGTTCATTGTACACAAACAACTTATCCGAAATAAACTTGATAATTGGTTCTTTAATAAATACTCAGTATTTAAATATTAATTTTAAATAATTATATCTAATTCTATAACATATAGGATGTACTAAGTTGTTTTGCGTTTATAAAGAGAAACACAAGTGTTTATAATTCTCGGCGATTGATTTTAAACTTGTCATTAGCGACGTTGCAAAACGGAATTATTATTTAAGAACCATTTTAACTGAATGGACATAATGTACACAGTTAACGAAATTGCTTTCTAAAGTGGCATACCTACTTATTGATTTAATTTTACAAAATAACACCATCGCGTGCCCATAATCGTATGGTCGTGGGCGAAAATGCTTGCGGCATTGGGATCACAGATTACAATCGCGCTTGGTTATATAAAATAGTTCCTACTTATTTCTTATATAAAATAGAAGTAAATTTAAAAGTAACTGCTTTCTGCGTTCACAATATTGAATTGAATAGTTTGTACATACTGAAATTTTATTACATTTTGCATTTGGCCATTAACCATACTTCTTTTTATAATTTTTTCTTGTGAAAACAAGTACAATGCCGTCGGCATTCGTTATAAAGAAAAATTGGTTGGTGAAAAATTGTTACAAGTTTTTCGTTTAATGTTTTTGATATGCACTTATTATAAACTTATTATAAACAACGTGTACTAACAAAATTAGTTTATACATCGTATATGAGGTATATGTTGAGTATACTGTAATATTTTATAATATGTAATATTAAAAAAAAAATAGTTCTGTGATCAATATTGGGCTAAACTTACTTGGCGTAATGCGTTAATCAACCGACTTCAAAAATTGGAAACTCGTGCTTCCCATGTGGTCCCATATTAATTTTATTGGTATTGGATTTTTGGGTCCGGAGATACTTAGGGAACTACTGAAAATCAATTATAAAATGAATACAGAGCTAGATATTTTAAGTCGGTTTTTTTTTTATTAAACGGTTTTATTTAGCTCGACCGTACGGAATTTGTTTGTTTATTTATTTGGGTCAAAATTAGAAATTGAAATTTAAGCACCTTGCCGTTGTCAGATTGATCTGAAATTTGGTACACACATTTAATTTAGATGACAATACAATATTAACAAAAAAAATTTAACAAAAAAAAAACATAAAATAAAACCGTTTAACTTAAAAGTTTTTTAAAGTAATTATTTGTTAATAAAAAATGGACTTGCTGTCCACAAAGATCGAAGAAGGTTCTACTAATGTGGTTAAATGAAAGTATTTTACGGATTTTATCGCATTTGATTTTATTTTATTACAGGGTTAAGGATAAACTGTCCATTAACGTTGTAAATTGTTCGAAACTTCGAGAATTTGACATCCAAATAATACGCTATGAAATCTCTAAAATAGTTTAAAATACTTGCGCTTAGCTAGTTACAGCTATAAAATACCATGAGTCATATCTGAAGTTCCATTGCAATATGCATTGGTTCGTTATGTTATATAAAACGTTAAATTTTTGGGTTCTTTAAACAGAGCATAATGATAAAATGATACGTCATTAAAAACAATAGTGAAATTTGTTTTGGTGTTTGTCTCCAAGAATAAAAATAAAACGTGTTTGAACACACGTTAAATAATACGAACATGTTTCAAGATTTTTGAACAGTTGTTTTTTTTAAATATTAATACTTTTAACATTTGAACTTGCAGTTCAAATGTAAAAAACATTTTCGGTATAAACGTTTTTCATAGCGCAGAACTATGTAGCAGCCATAAAAGAAGATTAAATTTTACCAAACGACACCACTTAGTAGAATTAAAAATTTTCCAGCGAAGTACGTATTCGTTCGTTACGCCTTGCCGTGCGATTTCAAAGTAAGAGAGATAATGATCATTGAATGCGGTTTATCATTAGGTGATCTCTTTGAATTAACAATTTTAAAGTTAATCATTCAAGGCTGAATTCTGATTTTGAGTTTTTTGTTCAGTTTATGCGTAGTCTGATCCGCTTAAACTGAATGACAATCATTCGTACCTACGAAATGCTTTGAATGCGAGAGTTAAAAGTAATTACGTTATTATGTCGTTAATTTTGATAAATACGAGTAAAATACTTTGTTAAATTTCTATTTGAATGAAATTCAGTGGTCTGCGTTATATTAACTTTTATTATTAATGATAAGAATTCATTTAAAAGGATGATTTAACCAGCATTTTCAATTAATTATTTAAATAGGTATGTTATATTTTCTCGTACAGCTTTTCTAACAGCGTTTACCGCTGGGGATCAATTTAGAAGCTGTTTATGTTGCATTTAAGATTTATAGATTATATAAAGACATGCACTTTAACATTTACTTTGATTTATCACTGCATGGGTGTTGGGTATCTAATGAAAGTACTCATCGCATTGCATAGTCAGTACGTTGCATCTTTGAAGGCATACAAATATAGATCTCTATTTATAAACTGTATGTCGAATTATTCGGCTACAATTCGGTATACGGCCTATTCGGTCTACATTTTCAACATTCGACAATTGGCAGTTCACCGAAACAGCACATTTGTGGAAAGCATGGAAAACACGTACTAGTGAAACACTATGTATGTTTTAATTAGAAATATTTGTAATAGGATCATACTTTTTAATTTGTAAACGATTTAACGATGTAAAAAATGATGATCAAAATAAAGCTACATATAATAAATGAACGATGTATACGGTATTGACTATAAAAATGCTTAAAGATATATGATGTACGGAAAATTAAGAAAAAAAAAAAGGAGAAAAAGGTTTTGTTCGTAAATAATATCTGCAAAGAAACAAAAGTGAATGCTGTTTGAATGAATATTTAGAGCCAAAACCGAAAGCCTAGCCGAATCGGTTATCAGGATTCGACTAAGTCCCCAGTGGTAACATATACATCTCAAGTTCATTTCAGTGACACTTTCTTACGTCTAATTATCGGACATATATAACATATAATATATTAGATATAAATCGACATCTAAAGCACCCGGGCTTGCAATGTCGT